GACTGAGACCCCTCGGGCCTCATTACCTCTACCCACAGAACCACTCATGCTCATAATGCTTTGGAAACGACTAGACTGAGTATTATTTATTCATCTAACACAGGTATCATATTTCCTTAAATAAAAGCCAGGGTGTCAAGTCAACATGTATTTCCTAAAATGGATATTTGAACCTCAGAAAAATCAAAAATAAAGAAAACTTGGGCCCTGAGGGGGATTTGAACCGGAGACCTCACGCATTAGACTTCAAGACTTGAGGAAATATCTACCAAGTACATGTATGTACATCAGTTGGGCTAGATTTGCATATTTATAGTTGAATTCTATTGCTACCCCAGCATTTATTCACATCCGGCTTTTATTTAAGGATTTACGGTATACATTCAACTCCACAAATTTGACATATTACAATATGACTAATTCAATGAGTCATTTACCATTGGACAGGTTGTAGATATTCTGTTCATTAGTTCTAACATGATCATTAATACCAGTCATCTTATAGTATTCAAATTGACGATGATACTGTGTAGTAGTTGATATAGGAGCCTCCCCACCAATAACCAGTAATTGTTGAGGTTCACCTTCACTTCCCATTACTATCATGCCACTACCAGCTCTCTTAGTCACAGAATTGTTATTAGTTGATTGTAATTCTTTCCATTGAAGAGTTAAAGTGTCTAAACAGTTCAAACTGTTATGGTAGCAGAAGTCATGGCCACAATAGCCACCAAAATAATAAATATTATTATTAATGGTGGTACAGGAGACTCCTGTGATTCCCAAGGGAGGAGTACCTCTAGTAGGTTGAGAGGACCAAACACCAGATAATAAGTTAAAAGCATCAATAGTAGAAGTACACTGTCTCTTTGTAGGAGAATCGTGCGACCAGTCTAATCCTTCCTGGTTCCCTCCCCAGCAGTACAGGACCTCTCCTACTACTGCAGTTGTGTGTTCAGACCTCCATCTCAGTTGATACTGACCTGTAGAATGATAAATAATCAATGTTATGCTGGAAACAACCTACCTTCAGCTATTCTGGCCATTTTAGCCTCGATTTTAGCTTATCTCGTGATCCTTTTATTAAACCAGCCCCACCCAACAATATTTTACTTGAATGAATTAAATGCTAAACCTAGAAGATTGTGCACTGTGCAGTAGTACATTTAACTGTTATGATAAATGAAGAGTAATACAAGTTGCCATACAAGTTTTGTTAATATTGTTATTGATTGTTCTATCATACTAAACACTTCTTGTCCCATACATCAGGTGACATATGTAAACCATTATGAATGATATGAACAGTAACTGAATCTGAATAATCAAGACCTTGTAATAACTAGAGAGAGAGAGAAACAAAACATTACTTTCAACTAACACTGACATTCATGCACACTCTTCCTATTATCATAAGCTCATACATAGTCTCAAGGACTCAAGCTCAAAT